GGTTGTTTCTGAGAGGTGACAGACATTGTGACAGCAATTCCAGCTGAGGGCTGCTGAGGACTCCATTCAGCTAACAGAAATATTTCAAGTCTTTAGCTGGCTGGTCTAAGAGAAGGGTTAGTCATATTCTGTTTTGCATATTTTTGTTTTGGTCCTCCTATTTTGGTAAGACTAGTGCAGACCTGGGGACTGAGCTAGGACAAAATTAATACCTAGGTTCTGGTACCTTTAAAAACAGCTTTATTTTCACAAACCACCCAAGCTTGCAAGCGGTTATAAAATCCATTTCATAACTTACAAACAAGATACGATTTTTTCCAGGAATCATTGAGAAACAAATGTGGAATCCACAAAGTATATTTTACGAAAACCACTTTTCAGAGCAGTAACACATTTTAATGTCAACTGAGTGCATCTTTACGTTGAAGAAAAAATAGCTTAGTGTACCATCTGTTACTCTTAATAGCAAATGAACAACATGAGTTGTAGTTAATACTGTTGATGTAAAATATAAGAGGGATGTTATAAAACTGCTCACTGACAGATATAAACATGTTTTGAAATATGAATGAGCTCAAGCTATTCAATATGCAACTTTTACCAGCCAGCTGTTCTCAAAAGATAAGGCAACACCAGAATTTTAACAAACCCTGTGCTAGGCAAATACAAGCTCACTTCATTGGCCCACAACAAGATGGGAGAGGAATTTCCAATCCAAAGTACACATACAGTGACAGATTCATTCCATTAAAAACCTCCAATCTTAGGGGAAATAATTATGTCTTGTACAAAATTGTCACACTACTCACAACCTGACAGGTGGAATGAAAATGTCATCCCGAGTATACATATATATCTTTAGAGAAGTCTCTTGCCACAAATTAAAGATTTTTTTCACAGAAGTGTCCAAAAAAATCCAAATAGCACTTCTTCATTTTTTGCTTGACAGATAATGCTGCAATGAGATTAGTTATAACATAGGTCTTGGTCCTGTAAATGCTCATGCACTGGGACATGGCACATGGATAACAGCCCCAAAACAGACAATCTGTATTGCAGCTCCTTTTGACAAGCTCAATATTGAATTTCATAGGAGTGGATCTGTATTATTTCTCCCTCCCTTTAAAATTTAATATTTTACACCCTTTGTATAATATCCATTTTCAAATCTTTGGACAATCGAGACTATGATTTAGGAAGTCTGTTTAGCCTACTGTTATTAATAATTGTCTTGTTTCCCTTCTGCTAGATGGCATTTCATTATTTTTATTTTCTGTGAAATGTTCTTTATCATCAGGCCAGTTATTTCTCAAAGACTCTTCAGATTTCCTTGAAAACATGCAAGTTATGAATGATCACAGGCTTTAATTCAGTATTGTGTTTTATTTCTCACCTGTGATGAATTATTTTCTAGTTAACTATATGGACTTCTGGCCCAGTTGCTTCTCAGCCCTCATACTGAACATTGGTAAATAATAGATGTAAACTACATGTTTGAGTCAATTTAGATAAAAATTACTATAAAAATTGTCAGAAACAAATGATGGCATAGTGTCATAGAATTTTAGTAATCCATAATGTGTGTAGTCTAACCCGGTCCCTTTAATTCCCTTTTACAGTAATTTGCCTTGGTTCATTTGTTGGTGGTTTTTTAAACTTGCTTGAAAGTGTTACATCATAAATCCTGCCATCAGTAATGATAGTGACCATACTCTATTAACTCCTGGCAGTTTTTGATTACTGTAGCATGGCTACACCATATCAAAAGGAAAACAGATAACTAACCTTACAGAAAACCAATGTGTCTAGAACTCTATTAATATTACCTGGATTCTGGGTTTGTTTAAGTTTAGGTATGCAGATTTCTTTCAGGAGTTACTGCTTTAGATAAAAAGTTTGCTTATGATGCTTCAGATTTAAGGCCATTTCTTTAGGTGATAACTGGATGATTTTTAAATTCCAGTTTTAAACAGGTAAAGTTCATTGAGTGCAAGTGAATTAGGAATAGTAATTTTGGTGTTTTTATTGTGTTCACCAAGTTTTTAAAAATCACACTGAAAGGTCTTTCCATAAATTCATAGTTAACTACACATGCCCAAGATTTTCTTGGTTTTCTTTCCAAGCCGCATGCTGTATCTAGACGTATATGTCACTGAAGCAGTAACTATGAAAAAGGCAACAGTGAAATTCTGTAACTAGCTTTGCTTAAATATGTATGCACAGAGATACATATTAAATTTTGCTGGGAAGTAACTCCTTAAAGCAAGCAAAATCATCTTTCTGCTTTGAAAGAGGCTTTGGATTTAGTGAACAATTCTATAAAGCAAAAAGATTTATTCTTTTAATTATGTAACACAGAAGCAATTGCTTTTGATGCAAAACAAGTCCAGAATTAAATGGTATTTGAATGAATAGATGGACTAACTTGTGGTCTGCTTGTTGGTTAATTTACACTCCGGCCATATTCTTTTATATTTCATGTATAGGCACAGTTCTTTTTTGATTATAGAAAAAATGTGGTATTGTTCCACTGGTAGCAGAAATTGGCAAAACTTAGAAAGGATTGACTGGTGAATAGGAAAAAATGACAATGAAAAAAACAGATTCAGAGAGGCTGACATAATAAAAATAAAATTAATAGATTCAGCTGATAACACTGCTCTACGAGCTTGATTTAAAATAGTAAAATACTTTTAGTAAACACATTTTTCTTTTTCTTTATATGCCAGACTGCTTAAGATTAAAGCATTAAAGATTGACAGCCGTTTTATTGGCAATGAAATGTAGAAGAGCAGCATACCAGGCAAATATCTTTTTAAAAAATATCTAATTTCTAAAGAGCAGACATAGCAGAAAACTTCCATTTAGTAAATTTTTGCAAATGCTTTATGGATCTAGATACCTCAAAGTTTCTTGTTTGTTCTCATAATTTATCCCTTCCTCTCCCTAGGAAAGAAGGTGGCAATGGAGATTATAAAACCTGAACTGAATTTCCCTGCCCTAAAAGTGAGCATGAAAGGGGCTGAAGAAAAGAGTAATAAAGGTCTGTAGATCCAAGCTTGCTACTCAAAAGGGTATAGGGCAAGAGCCAAGAGATGCTGCTGCTGCTCTCAATCCCAGCAGTAGCTGCCCAATTCCTGGTATTTCTTTCTTCAACAAAGCAGCTGCTTTGCTGTACAGATGGGTCACAGCCCCAGTAATCTATTGCTTCATTCACGGCTACCGTATTGTACCAAGGACATATTTTTCCCTCCTTGACTGTAATTTATGTCATTCATAGGTCTACCTACCTGGGAAAGAGCTCTCTGTTTATATTACTTTGCCCAGAGTATCAAAAAATTTGCTACTTTGCATTCTTCACATACTCTTGCCCTGCTAGCAGCCAAACTCTTGACTCTTTGTTTTCAAGGTATTTACTGGTCCCTTCTGTGTACACCAACTAAAACATAAGCCTAGCCAAAAACTATTTCAAACACCTTATATTTAGTCCAGTTTGAGAATTTTCATAGTGATTGTGACACTTCTTCTATGGTCATATTCAGGAGTACTGTGTGTACTACATTTCCTTGATTTTATTTAATACCAATGCGAAGTAGTGCCAAGGATGCATTTTTTACTGTTTTAAAACTGCAAGTCAGACAGCTCTCTACTCTGTTAGTTTATCAGGATTTTCAGATAATTACATTTTCTCTGTGGGTCAGAGACAAAATATTACCAAAAACTGTCTTAGAGATCTATAAATCTGTGCCTGTTACTATCACATTATTTCAAAAACATTTAATAGCTAAAAAATCTTCGGTTTGTATTGGTTCTGTTTCATCACAATCTACACTAATAGTCTGAAATATTTTTTCTGTATGAGAGAGAAATCTATATGAAGGTATCAAAAGTAGGCTTTTGTGGACTATCATGTGAAAGTTTTGAGTTTCAGCTTTCATTTTGTCTGTCATTAGTAAAGTTTGTAATTAAAGCTGACATACCTACCATTCTCTTCTATTACTTTGTGATTTCTTTTAACCTCTGAAGACAGAATTACTTTTTATATTCCTTAGATTTCCTTAGCTTAAGCTAATTATGATTCAGATAGTAATTCCATGGAAGTTCTGTTAACATTTTTTGTGTTGCTGTTCCTGACCAATTAACTCTCAAAACTCTCCAAAATTTATAAATATTAAACTAATGGCTCAGGTAGTGTGGAACAAGCTTATCATCTGCGGGAAAAAAACTCCACAACCACAAAAAACCCAAACAAAACCAAAGGAACGAACAACCCACACCAAAATTCTTGTCTATGCAACTCAGACTTAAATAGTTAAAGGTGTAAGCTTCGGTAAAGAAATTTGGGGTTTTTTTTCCAGATATGCTTTACAGCTTTGAAGTATACATGCCTATTTGGAGTGTTGTCTTATTGAATTTAGATAACATCCATTTGGTCTGATGTGGCCATTAAAAATAATGTAGAAGAAACTAATAGGTGTTATATGATCGAAAAACATAGAGGTGAATGTTCCTCTACAAATTTTCAGTTAACATCTCCATTACCCTGAGCAGGAAGCAAGTTTAATGTGTGGAAAGGACTGTTTCATTCTGATTCTTTTTCAGCAAAACAACCCCAAGGAGTAGTCTACTTTTTGCAAGTTCCCAAAAGATAAGCTGCTCTGCTCCCCTGAAAGTCTCCTAAGCACCCAGCCCTGCCAAGGGTGCATGCAGATGAAAGGCATACACTACGCTTGCATTGCTGGACACAGATACTTTCCTGATGTGGGATCTGGAGTCTACAATTCCCTTATTTTCCTTTATTTGCACACCATAGCATATTAAGTACCTGCCAGAATGTAAGTACCACTTTTCTCTGGGCAGCAGACATTGCAATACTGCTAGCACCAGAAACTAGATGTTACAGATTCTGACATTATTTATTCATCAGGATCAATTTCAAATATTTTCTACCTCACCATTGTTACAGAAATATATCTTCCCAAAGAAAGTCACCACAGTGCTGATTTGAAAATTAGCTTTTATTAGAACCAAGCGAGTTGTACCAATGTGTTGGGTAAACAATGTTTTTATGTAGATTCTTAGGTCTGTTTGCTTCCCCGACAGCAGGAAGGGAGCACGCCTGCCTTTATGTTCCTTCCAGCAATACAGAGCATATGCCTATACTGCAACAACAGTTTGGCTGGCAGACACCAATGGAGTTTTGCACTTGGTGGTTCCTGTTTATACAGATGGCTTTAAAAATGCTACTGGAAGAGAAAATAGCCTACACTGTAGGAAGCACCTTATATAGAAGACAAGACTTAGGAAGGAAAACTGTTTTCATCCTGCTCTCCTGCTCTTGAGGACAATTTGACTGTGGGTCTTGAAACTAATTTTAAACTTATTTTTGCCAGTTATATTCACTCATGTCAAGATTTCAACATGATAATTTGAAGATCCCATTTAGAAGATTCATTAGAGATTTGGATATTTGGCTTGCCTATATTGGTCATGTTTTTCATTCCTCTCCAAGTGATGGAAGGCAATAATTCAGGTGAATCACCATCCACGTACTTCACACTTGCTTTAAGATGGAATGAATCACTCTCTAGAGACAGTTATGTCTTTCCACTGACTGCAAGGGGAACCTAGCAAAACAAGATATAGATAAACTATAGATAGGGTCAGCATTTCATTCCAGAATCATATTGGAGTCAGAGAAAAAAATTCCTGTTGTTGTCAGCTGTTAGCAGGCTTCCATCGTTTGCTGTGTGAACTGCCATCTATAGGACTACTGCGACCAGTTATACAATAATAATGTGCCTCAGCAAAGTATGTAGGTCTTTTAAAGCTGTATGTGGTAGAAATTCTAGCAGCTGTTTTTCCTGATCCGGAATATGATTCATACTCATTCACTCATTAAAACAATTCTGTCCGGACTCTCCGCATTCATATCTGGCTGATTCCATCCCCCCCAAAACAAACAAACAGAGCAATGCAGAAGAGTATCACTAACTTTTACCTTGATCGATAGCAAATGTAAACATCAGAGGTGAAATCTGGCCCGTTGAGCTCATTGGCTTCAGCAGGACTGAGATTTTGTCTCAGAAAAGCCCCTCTTTTTGTGGGCTAAAGCCCCAAACTACAAAAAGCACATAGAGTAATAATACATTAAGTACAAACAATGAACTGCCCATTTTACAATTATTTTAACATCAGTACATGCTCATCTGACACTTCCCAAAAACTGACCATAAGACATGTCTTTCTGTTAGGTTCAAGATGATGGTAGTCTTTGACACTGCAGTTAGCTGACACGGCCGTTGCTCAACAGCAACAATATTTAAAGCTGCTGTGTCAATATAGAGAGATAGGGTTATAATTGAAACAGAAATTAGAAGGAAAGAGGTTGCAGAAATTAATACATGCCATTAGCTGGGATAATAGAACTATCAGGAGTTAGTATTTTCTCATCTTCATGAATTCTAATCATAAAATTAAATACTTTTAAAAAATCTTATGGTAAATTTGTAAAAAATGACAGTGCTGTATATGGAAAAAATTATGAATGCCTTTGAATGAATATCATGGAGATAGAGCCAGATTATCACTTCATAGACACCCTATCACCTTCATTAAATTGTAGATGTCAGAAAACAGTTCTCTCTGACCAGTTGATCATTGAATAGATAAGTTCAGAAGCAAACTCTTTCAAACAATACCCAGTGAAAAGTTTCTCTATGTCAGTGATTGCCAGTGTACAAGTCTGAGGATAACACAACTGCTGTGTTAATTTTTAAATATCTGTATCTTTTATGTTAGATGTGTTTTCCAAACACATTTTTACCAGCACAGGATTCAAAATCAAAGTTGTTGATTTTGAAGCAAAGTGCAGTTTTGTACAATCTATTCTATAATCTGCACTGAATAGAATTTATTTTTGAACTGAAGTTAGGTCAATTTTAGATGAAATGCAAAAACACTGCATTGGCAGTGCTGTGATGAAAGCTTTGCGTAAACAAAATTGTTTTCTTCACTCTAGGTAGAAGGAAGGTTTTTATGCACACTATTTGTAGTACTTGGAATTCATTCACTTCATCAGAGAAGACTGTATTAGTCCTGGGAAAATTATAATGAAAGAGATGTAAGAGGTTGTTAGAATGATGTTTTGTGCTGAACACAGAGATTTGCTTATCAAGGTTTATCAAGTGTTTTGAAGAATGAAGTAACAGACAGCTAGTCACCTTTCTGGAGCCACAGATATTTACTCCAAGCAAAAATGTTGATTTTCTAGACAGGCAGCAGGCTAGTAGCTACTTCAGTGTAGCTACTCTATAGCGCTGGAGTGTACAATTGTGTCCCTACTGACAGCACATTGTGAACCTATTAGGTACGTCTGAGAGCCATCTAAATGCAAATAGGATGTGAGTTTGTCAGTGACTAAAAACAGTCTTCCAGGCAACGGTCTTAGTAATTAGAAGCCATCTGGTATCATGAAAGAGTAAAATATTTTCAATATATCAAAAGGATGCATTTTATGTGGTACAATAATAGAAACACCTATGCTTATATATTAGAGCTCTGACAATTAGTATGCAAAATCAGATCCATCTTGCTATTTTTCCTCTGGGTCACTTCTGGAAAAGAAATAAATAAGAAGTCTGGAACAGAGAGTTCCATAAACCACAAGAAGGACATTTAAGAAGAACACACACCAACAGATGAGTACCCGACAAAATGAAGGAGCTTTGTTGAAACCTGGTAAGATTATGAAAGACATAAAGCAAAAGGTAAGTTTGATAGCTCCCCTGTCAGGTCTCCTTACAAAATGATGTTCTGTATTTTCAGTGTGTGGTATGTAGAAGTGGATTCAAAATTAAGTAGTTTATCTAAAACCTCTCTCTTCTTTGGCTCTGAAAAGTTCAGGGTTTAAGACTCTAATACTACAGAGACTGAAATTAAAAAATTCTAGTTTGTCAGTCTAGACCTAAACTACCCTTCATCATCTTGTTTACAAGCTAATATACACTAGGGAATATATAGTCAGATTATTCTCTATTAAAAAAAACTTAAAACATCACACCTTCAGTGCTAGCCTGGGAGATTTAGTGATAGTAGAACACTGATAACAGATAATTTGAAATTTAAATTAATAGTTGCAGTAGTTTTCTTCTTCAACATCATATTCATGTGACATTTATAGTTTTCAATTTCATTTGGCAGTTGTAATAGTTCACATCAGAATAGAACTTCAGCTCCGGAATTTATTTGTGATAACTATTTCTTAAGGATATGGAAGAAAGTAATATTAAGATATTTCCTTTTGAGAGTTTCAATAGTTAGAGGAGTAATAGGAGAGGCTCCATGCAAAAGATGCAGTTTTTATGCACGGTGAAACTGTTGAAACATCCAGGTCTGTGTGTCTGTCAAAATAAAGAGGTGATAGTTAATCCACAGTAGTTCTGATCAGCTTGCATGGGAAAGATTTAACACAGCCAACAATGCAGGTTGCCTATTTGATCAGATCCACCCTCAGCCTTCTCTTCTGCAGACTAAAAAGACCTAAGTCCCTCAGCGTTTCCTCATAAGAGAGATGCTCCAGGCCCCTAATCATCTTTGTGGCCCTCTGCTGTACCCTCTCTGGCAGTCCTCTGTCCCTAACTGGGGAACCCAGAACTGGAGACAGTACTCCAGATGGGGCCTCACTAGCTCAGAGTAGAGGGGCAGGATAACCTCCCTTGACTTGCTGGTCACACTCTTCCTGATGCACCCCAAGATGCCATTGGCCTTCTTGGCCACAAGGACACAGTGCTGGCTCATGGTCATTGTCAAAACAGTGAATAGCAAATGCATCAACTGTGTGTGAAGATGGTGTCTGGGGGTCTGTCTCTCTCTGTGTGTATAGCACATTTCCACAGCTCAGTTAAGGAATGGTATTTTTCCTTGCATAGGTGAATGTGGCAACTGACACTCTCTTTCAAGTTCTCAAGACTCAGGATTCCCTACATCCTAGTACTTTGGGATATATCACCTCTGAACAATGAAACTGTCCTGGCCTGAGACAAAACAGAACCATTTTTCTTTGCAATAATTTTACTTTCCAGTGAAGACCTTTCTAACTAACTGCACTCTCTGAAATTAATGGCATATTGTTCAGACAGTATCCACTCCTAACAGACATAAGGGCTGTTGTTTGTAGTTAATACCCAGTAATGGTACGAGAGAGGCTCTTGCTTATAATTATGGGTATAACAACCAAGGTCAGCTACCTTTGATATGTGCCACTTTGGAGGGTTGGAGATGGAAGAGTGTAAAGGGGTTACACCTCTGGGGAGCAGCAGATAGGACAGGTGACCCAAAACTGACCAACGAGGTGTTCCACCCTGTCTGCATCATGCTCAGTATGGGTTCAAAGGGGTTAGCTTTCTTTTCTTCAATGACGGGTATCCAAAGAGGACTTTCTCTGTCCATTTGCCTTTCATCCTGTTCTGTGCATTCCTAAATCCAGTTCTTGAATCCAGTTCCCATCTGTTGCTGAGTCCAGTCTGAGACTTTCCCAGTGCCTGTCGATGATGTGATCGTCATCCTGGGAGCTCAATACTGATTTTGCATATATTTTAATTGTATGTATTTCATTGTTTTCTTATTAATTCTTATTATCATTTTACTTTTATTGTCAACAGTTTTCATTTCATAATATTTCATTAAAGTAGTTTAGTTTCTTTTCAATCTATAAGTCTCTCTCCCTTATTCTTTGGTAAGGGAAAGAGTTTAAAGAGAACATCTGTTGTTCATGTAGTGTCCAGCCCAGCCTAAACCACAACAGGAATTAATTTCCAATGACATAAATCTATTTGACATCATCAACTGTGCCTCAAACTGGTTGTTCCACTTTTTGGGTGTAAACTCACTAGGTTAATAGGCTTTGATGTGTTTTCTCTTTTAACATGCATTGCTTCTGTACAAAATCAACATTATCACTCTCTAGTACTCTTAAAAATGTCTCTCTACATTAATAGATTATTTTATAGCCTTATTTTAATCATTACATGCAGTATGAAGAAATCAATACTGTTTGCCAATAACAATGCTTCATTCAGTATCCCAGTGAGTAACAGCTATTTAAGTAATTAATTTTCATATAAGTACCCATTTGTTCTCTTTTTATATATGAGAGGATGGATTATTTTTCTGTATACTTTTGAGTCATTGTCCTAAATAAACCTTAATGAGAAAACAAACCTATACAGATAGTAGATATACAATTCCACATACTGTTTGGTTAGTTTCCTTTGTCCACTTGTGCATCAGGATGGTTTTCCAAAGTTCAGCCATTTCACCTCTTCTTAGCTAATACACATATATTACCTTGATATGAGAAACCAGCAATAAGATAGTCCTGATTTATTTGACCAGTGACAGTTTCATAGATAGCTACATAGCCAACATCACTTAAAAGATTCTTAAAAATAAGACTGTGGCAACACTTAGGTTGTCTGTAGATAACTTAATGTTCTAGAGATAACATGTAAAGTTTCTGCAGAACAGCTCTGTCTGAGCTGGGACAGTATGCAATTTGCTACACCACAGCGGCATACTTGAATGAATTCTTGCATTTCATATTTCTGTGTTATCTCAAAGAAGAAAAGAAAGGTTATTTGTTTTAGGTAGGCACCAGAAAAGGAAGTTTATTGACATTCTTGTGATTTGGTCAACCTGAATTATCACACTCTGTAAAACATATGCATATTACTTTTCAAGGTGAAGATGTAAATTATCATCCTTAATACTAAATACAGTCCTTCTTTTATAACATCTCTCACTCAAACAGCTGATCCTCCAATTCCCCATTCATACCTTCAGATGTATTTTCCTTGCATAACTTTTCCTGCCAAAGCTGTTGAAAGGTTTAGAGTCTGTGCCCTTCATAGTTTGTTAGCTCAGCTTTACTGAATTAAAATTTAATAACATAGATGACAGAAATAATTTACACGGTATAAAGGGAAAAATTCCAAAACTTTTCAGCAGTGTTATCATAGCATTTTTTTCAAGGATACAAAGAGGCATACTACCAACATTCTCTTACAAGTTCGGAAAAGAGATTCATTACAGCAGCCAATATATTAACAGTTTTAATTGGTATTCTTGCATTAAGTTTAAGAACTAGCAATAAGAAAATCATAAACTGAAGTGAAGAGACTATATCAAATAAAAGAAAGAGTGAAACATTTTTTAGGAAACTAAAATATAAGACCAACCTTCAAAAACCAGTAGTGGAAAGTCAACCTTAAGACAGTATTTACAATTTACATATACAGATTTACAGTTCGGTTGCATTATAAACTACAGTCATGCCAACCTGCCCCACAGAATATAATTTCGCAAAACTTAATAGTGCACCGTTCCAGTGTTCAAAGAGAATTTTTGATGTATGCAACTTTGCATACTGCATAGATGGGGTCAAACAAGGTCGCATCAGTCAAGGGCGATATGACCTATCACAAGTCACCTCGTAAGAAATGTAACTTTTAATAAGAAAATAAATTATCAGGTGAAATAATGATCCCTATTCTTTGATTATAAAGTTTCTCTAAAACTTGTGTTAACTGACAAGATTGGAAGTCCAAAGGCTTTCTCAGCCACTTCACTCTTGAACCTCCTGCCTTGATTACAAGCTTTTTGTTGGGCCTGATCACAAGGTTTTAAGGTTCTCTGTTTTAACTGAGGAGGGAGGCTGAAGCAAATCATGTGCTCAAATGTATACATGAAATTTTCAGTTATCATATTTATTCCTTTCGTAATCAGTGGAGAGATAGAGATAGTTTTGGGACGTAGTTCATCAGATCTACTTTAAACAACTGCACAAGCATGATCAGATTTCTGCTACAAAAGCACTACATGTAAAGGAAATCTTAAACAACTAGCTCAGACACAGAGACAGTCCTGCAGATGTCAGTCAGACTTTCCTAACTTATCAAGACTGTGAAGCCAAAAGCCTTGAAGCTTTTGCTCAGCCTGTGCTCTCAGGTATTCAGATTTCAGACTTTTACATGACTTAAAACATAGCTTTTTCCTTGGAAAGTGCATGTGTTCAAGAGGTAGGGGAGGATTTAAATTTTTTCTACTTGCTCTTCAATGTAGGAAAATTCTTTAAAATTATTCAGAAAAAACAACAGTGACAATAACAACAACAACAAAACAGAAACTTTTTAATCCGCTACTATTTGTTTTTTTTAAAGAAATCCTTTAATTTCCTTCAAATTGTATAGCGTATTTAGATCCCTTATATAGAAATAGAAATTTTGAAAATGGTCACTCCCCATGAGCAGCGAGCCATACTCATGAACGAAGTATGAGTATACTACTGTCTTCAGCATCTTCTAAGATTTCAGAAAATGAGTGCCGCTTGCTTACAGCAGACTTTTGCTGGGAGTCTTTTCATTTTAGGAAGTAAAGGCCTGATCCAAACCCCGCTGAAGTCAATGGAAAAAGACTCCCATTGACTACAATGGGCTCTGGATCATGCCCTAAGTCCAATCTCTTCATTAATGCAGCATTAATAATAAGATGTCTTTCCAGTAGCTTGGAGTACCTTAGGTCCCAGCAATTTCAGCCAAACAATTTCACTTTAGGTTACCGTCCACTGGAATTTGAAAGGTGAAGCTGAGATCATTTTCAGTGACAATAAGACCTTAACCGGGAGCATTTTCAATTCCTAGTTATATTCAATTCCACCAGTTCGGTCCAAATCCTTAGGCATCCTAATGAGAAAACAGTACGAATAAGTGAAATCAAAGAAATATATGTTGTTCAGTGTACACTTCAGAAGCATAGTCTAGGCTCTGATTTGATCAATGAAAAGATGCATGTTGATGTTTTTGAAGAGATCAGCATGGAGCTTAACTGCACAGAACAAATTAAAAGTTTATAGCACAATTAACTATATTAGGTTTTTGGTTGTATTTCTTTTTAAACTAACAGAGAAAGTGAGATACAAGGTTTCTCAAAGTGTTTTCTCAGTTTGCACAACAGAGCTTAATCAGTTCATAAATTACAAAAAGTGGCAGAAAGATATTAACGTTATGAACAGCAATAACACCCTTAAATTCTCAGAACATGTAGATATGAATTGTGAATGTTATATTAGTACAAATTTTGACAGACAGATAATAAATGGATAGAATTACTATAGTGTCATTAAATCAGGTATAAAAAAATACATGTAATAAGGTCAGTTCCATATAAAATAAAAATTTGAAACATAGGTTGAGATTTTACTGTTTAAAACTTGTATTTCTAATAAATCACTGGACAGATCAGCCATTCCAAAAGATCTCCAGCATTAGCCATTGCTCACATTTCATTAAATTGCCATTAGCAGTACTTACTATTTTACCTTGGTTATTCATACTGACAAGAATGGCTCCAAAGATGAAGCATTTCTATTTTGTAATCAATTACTAATTTTTCCACTTAAAAATATCATGCAGGCTGCCATGCACTTTATAATAAAGATCTTTCTGGAGTTATATTCTAGCAAAAAAAAAAATCAACGTAAGTTTACCATAGTTTCAATATATTAAGAGATCAACATATTCACTGAACTGTAAACGTTTGCAGACATTTCACCATTCTCTCACTAAGCCAGCAAAATAGATCAATTTAAGCTAAATTTTGAGCTGAAGAACTGTATTTACTTTCACATTTATTTCAGATATTTTACCAGAGTCATTTCTGTAATACTGTTTGATCACTCAGATTTAGTTTTAAGCAACTCAAAAATCTGCTGATAACATCTATACTAATAAATTTTAGAGATAAAGGAAACAGGTCTTAAATATCTACATCAAAAAAATACCAGTTTTCCAAAGGAATAGATTTGTTTTTGCATATGTGTAAGTACAAACTTGGTCCTCCAGGGACTCTCTCAAGATATGGAAAAACCTCAGGTTTGAATCTGTGGTATGAATTGCCTCAGACTCATGTATTTCTGTGAAAAACACCTGAATATTATAATGAACTGGTAGGTTTGGATCTCTTTCTTTTCCTTGCTGAATTGAAAAAAAAAAAAAAAATCACATTATTATTTTGCTGTAAAATAAACTTATGACATATTACAAATCTTGCCAGTTTCTGGCAAAGAAAAATTTACCTTGTTATACAGCATAACTTTAATCTCATCTTAAAGTCACATAGTCATGAGTGGCGTCAAGGAACACCCAATTTGAGATAAATGTCTGTGACATTTATTTCTTTTTCTTCTTCATCTAACAAGTTCTGGCCAGATGCATGTATTCTAGTATGTAGTAACACAAAAGCTAACCCAGTTGCAAATCTGTTGAACAAATGAAGTACAAGGCTTGTTTTCAGTTTAACTCAATATAATTTTCCATCCCTTTATTCTTGTTTAAATTAGTATCTAGTCAGTATTGTTTAATTCAAACTGTAGTCTCTTCAACTTGATGGAGAAAATGAAAGCATCCTGTCACCTGGATTCAGGTGAAAAAAAAGAGAATTCATACAGTTTATATGTCATTAGCTGGAACCAACATACAGACAAAATAAATTTTCACCTCTAATTTTTTAAAATAAAAGGCATTAATTTGTTTTGATGTGGTTTTCACTTTATCCAAGGATCTCCATTTATCACTTCCAGATAAAAGATATGACTATAATCAGAAAATCAATAGACATCAAAGCTCTTTAAGCAAGGTTTAGCAACCGCTTGCTCAAGACATATATAGCTTGGCTACTAAAATTAGCCCGGATCATTGGATTATAAATAACATCTTGATCTATGGCTCCCATTTCATTTAACTGAACAAATATTAAAATCCTGCCCTCAGAGTCTCACAGTGACACTGGCCAAAATTCAAACTCTGGAAGTTGTCTAGTATGTATAGTGCATAGAAAACATTCCCCATTGATTTTCAGACAGGAGAAAAAAGTATTAATAAAGATAAAATGCTTTGCTGGAGAGGATTCACAGCACAATGCTGTACTGAGAAAAATTCTTTCTTGCCCTTAGTACATCTGCAGCAAGGAACTCAAAGCATGCAGGAGGACACTCACCCTCATCAGAGGGAGAAGTTAATGTCATGATGACATCCAATACACTGTTTAAGCTAGTTTTAAAGTCAACAACTAGACAATAGTGTACTGTGTATTAAATAGATCATTTTCAGCAGTTTTAAGTCTTTCAGTACACATCTGAGACAGAAATTTCAGATCAGTCTGTAATGTTCCCTAGAGACCTAGAGAAATCGATAAACAAGGCCGTAATGAATTCACAAGACAGTTTTGTCATTAGAAAACCTTGTAAGCAGCCAACTGTTTAATTCTTACAAGGAGTGGGAATTGCTATCACGCATCTAACACTTTAGACTGTGTAATTTAGGTTTTTAGAATAAAAAGAGTTAGTAGACTTAATTACATTGCACACCATTAGAAATAACTTCTTGCTGATGTGGAAAGTCAGTAGATTGGATGGGATATTACTTTCTCCTTTTCTATGACCCTAAATTTATTAAATCCAAGTAAAAATTTAATTTTTCATTAATTTCAGATGCCCTACAAATGCCTTCAGCTATCACCTTGCATATACCAATATGCACAGAAGAGAGATAACATATCTTTTTGGCCTTGCACATAAGGTCTAAGTCAGTAACTGTAGTGCAAAATCTTCACTTAGACTAAAGTTATGGTTTTCAAATATATATCTGAAAGGAGGGCAAGATACATTCATTCAAGTATTAGCCAGGCAGTACTATTGGTACATACATTGCAAACCAACAAGTACGTGGTCACTAGAAAAAAATCTGAATGAAAATCAAGCCATATCACTCCCTTTCTCTTTCCCTCTTCTCTCTACCACTCAAGTAAATACCTTCCTTCCTCAAGGAAGAACATACCAGCATTCACGTATGTTTTTAGAGGTGTTGCTTTGACCACATCTCTTACTTCATGCTCTTATCTGAGTCTGTAGTCCCTGGTATCATATTCTTCTAACCTGTATTGTCAATCATAGCAACCAATGCCATGAATTGGATCAAAAAGCATTAGTTTTAGGTGCCACTAATGTAAAATGATAAGCCCTGATCTATCAGGTTTAAAAAGAAGAATGGATGGATAAGAATGTAATGAGGCTTCAGAAATGAAACCAGCTATCAGTAATATTAATCTTGTTTTCACAATAGGCGTTCTATGAAAGAGAAAGGAGGTTTTTCTTCTCTGGAGAGCCTTGATGAGAACCAGGATTCTTATTAATCCTATGCATTATTTTTTTTTTAATTAAAAGAGGAGAGGGAGTGCATGCTTGCTTTCGTATCCCGTATTCATCATCTCATTTCCCAATTCATCCTCAGGCAAGCTCATGTGGTAGATAAGGCCTTCACTAGAAAAAAATCATGTTAATATCTTTTCTTTCTTTAGAAACCATCAAAACTGAAGCATATCCTGAAAAGTTTTAAAATAAAACAGCCCCCCTTTACTTACACACAAAAGAACTCTTAATTAAAACTTAATGAAGGACAGAAGAAAAAAGAGTAACACAATATCAGTGGACAGGTAGACAAGAAGGAAGCATTCCATCTGAGATATTTAATATTTTAATTGGTTATCTGGAAGAAATGAGAAACTGAGTGTTATCAGTCTGATCCTAACCTTATTAAAGTCAGTGGCAAAAAGCCCAGTGAGTCCAAGGGGGCCAAGATGAAGCTCTAATTGAATTAGGAACTGACTTCAGATAAAATATGTTACATTCTTTCCTTCATCTTCTCATTCTAGCAGAGAGAAATGGGAAAGATTTAATGAAATTTTTCACAGAAGCAGGTAATTGAGTTTGTTTTGACCTAGATCAAAAAAATAAGTACTCATGAGGAAATCAACTTTAACTATGATGTTATTGAAATAACAATGCTGGACACTGAGCTTTCCGATAGAAACAGACTGCCATACTCAAGTGTCTAAAACCTGTCCTACACTAAAACCTGAGGTTTCTAATCACCTTGCTGATAAGGTAGCTCTATTTAAACACAATAAATATTAAACCATTCTCTGAAAAATAAACCCCACAGAATTAGTTGAGAGAAGAAGTCACATCCGTTTGTGCTTACAGTCCCCTCTGCCAGTCAGCATTTGTTCTAAGTTCACATAAGGCGCAAATTCACACAAAGAATGTAGCCCAAAGAAACCTTCACTCCTTTTACTTATTAGAGTGTTGTGACTGGTGAAGGAGCAATAATGACTTGTTGGTTGTTACTGGTGAAAGAGCAGTAAAAATACAACTGGAAAAGATCTCCATTTCCTTTTGCCAACCACAACACCTCAGAGACTCATTTCTCCAGGTGATAATTGTTGCTGCCACCTCGTTGACCTTGGTCATCTGTGAGAGTCACTAACCCGAGAAGAAAGGAGACTTGGCTAAGGCATATGTGGGGGTGTAGCCCCTTCTCTGTAAGTATGTTCTTCCAGCCTTCAGAAGCAGAAGTGTTCAAATTCTACTGGAATAGCAGAAATGAAACATGGAAAGACAGGTGCAATATCAGAGCCTCTCTTCAACTGAAAAGTTTCAGATAGTGTTACCTAAAGCTGTTAATTCAAGTAACTTAATGGAATTAATGAATTATTCTTAAACTACTTCCCTGCAAGTACAACACTCTAGCAGTTCTTGCATGGTTCTCTATTAAACCAATTACTCTCATGAGAGCTGTTCCTTTTCTGTTTAAATGCACCCATTCATGAGATCAAAAGGTAAAGTGAAGGAAAAGGAGTGAGGAAGAGTTCAACTCCTTGACTCAGTGGTAGAGGCCTTTTCTTTCACATAGGTGACTAAGCTCCATACCGCCAGGATCGCTTTCAGAAGGAAACAGCAATTCTACTGCATGAAAACTAATGCAGATAAATAAATAACTAGTAATAAATTAGAAGAATGTCAGACAGCTTGAATCTGCCTGTCATAATCTTTTTGATGGCAGCAAAAGAAGTACTTTTACAGAAGAGGTGCTTTCGTTTTGGATGTACATTCAGGTTAAGGAGTCCAACCAACCTCTAGAAGTTTTCCAGACAAGGCTGTTTCCTTCCCTGCACTCCCTGAAGTGGCACAGGCTTGGAGGAATGCCAAGTACCCATTGTTCCCTTTGACTCCTGCTGTACTTATCCCAGTAAGGGTCCAGCCCATCCAAGATCCTGAAGCAAGATTCAGTTTTGAGACATTACATACCTTTGACTAACAGCTTTAAAGGTTCCATGACATAAAAAGCAATACCAAAACACAAACGAAGTAAGTGTGGAGCTGCTTTAGTGATGATCTGGTAGAACAGATGTTTTCTAAGTGTCATGACATTTTAGCTAGATCTTTTTTTCTCCCAGAATAAAACACTACCAGCATCTTCAAAAAGAGAACTGATAAATCTTTTATGGTCATTATCACAGCAATTGAAATACATTTTGTAATGCCAAGCATGAAATGTCCTGGAAATGGATAAAAACCTTCCTTTGTATTTCTCTGTCCAACTTCATTGTGCAATATCAGTCCAAATACTTCCAGCATTACCTTGGGCACATTTGCAGTTTTCAGCAATCTAATGACTGCTTATTGCTGACTGGGGACATATAAGCCCTTGTGTTTGTAATGGAGTATTCAGGTACCTGAGATATATGCATACTAAGTGATGGAAAGCATGCCCCATTAGAATATTGATTGCATATGTCAGCATATGCACCACAATTTAAAAAAATTAGTCTGCATTAAACTCCACTACCTGCATGACTAGAGGCAGGAGAGGGATTCATGACTTTTGTTCAAACGAGCTTCTTGCAAATTTTTAATCTAGAACAACAAAGGCAAAATATTTTAATATTCCCATATCATGTTTATTGGATTTATGAATTTTATGAAACTTCAATAACAAGCTAGCATAAGACTTGCAAAAGCATCAGCATTACATGTTATGATCGAAAGGCTGTACCAGCACAGAATTCTCCTCAAACAATACATCACTCAAGCAGTAGATGTAGAGATAAGCATTACTATTATCATGAAAGCAAAAAATCTGGATTAGGCTTTTGTTCTCCCTTTCTCCTTCACAATGCTTGCTATCATTTTTGCCATCAGCATACAAAAAAAGACAAATTCAAGCTCCTCAGAAATAACTCTGCACTGCCATTTCACTAAAAGGTGCTTTTCCAGAACTCCGTCCTCAAATGTGTCCTTATATTACATCACTGCATTTTTCCCCTTCAAACAATGCACTACAATTACAGTACTGGCTAGAAACCACAGCTACGCAATGTTTTACTAGGCTCAACAGAAGTTCTTTAGCACAGTTCCCATTTCTAAATGATCTATAAAATACACAGAACAGAGGAAGGTGTTGGAAATGTCTGGCTAACAGCCTCCAAAAGTATTTGGGAAAGTTTGGAAGTCATAATTCTTAGAACTAGATGAAGCAAACATAACCAAAATGTTAGCAGACAATGCCTCATCCATGTCTAAAACCAAACCCCATAAACCCATTAGAAGATCTGCAAATTGCTGAAAAAGAACAGAAGTGACTCCACTCCATAGAATGCTGTACTTTAATTTAATGCATAAGTGCACAATGATTTATTTACTTACCACTCCTGGGGATTATTTTTTTTTTCTTAGCAGCCTTCTTTACTTTCCACTTTCTCTTGCATGCACTTTGAAATTGAGGATAGTAAGGACTGTTTTCCCATGGTGAAAATACAACTATGGCATAAACCTAGCTAGTTGGAACTTCCGGATTTTTTCTCCCCTAACAGTAGAAGAATCCATATGGCTATAGACTCAAGTTGTTCTTCACATTGACAAAATATACTAGCAATCTTCAAATGCAAAGATTTTCTTCTTTCTTCTGACCCAGCTGGTACTCATCACTGAGAAAAGTCGGCTCCAAACTGAATAAACAGTTCCTGAGAGGTTTGGAGCACTTTAAAACATTAATAAATGTCAGTGGGAGTGGAGGATACAAAAATTTAGATTTTCAGAGCTTCCTGCTCAAGCTTAATGTCATTTGAGTGGTGACGTTCAACAACAAATGCTTCAGATAGGTGCTTATCAATGAGCATGTCTGAAGAATGCTAAAGAAAACAATCCAAACAGTGACAGAACATATTTTAAATTAAGTTAACTACCCTGTTATTTCTACTTTGACTGCTGAAATATAGACAGATACAGACAATATACATATATAGTTAAGGCTTAACTAGACCAAGCTGTCCATCACCCACTAACTTCTGTTATCACCATCATAGCTGGAGGTGGGAATTACAGTGATAACAAAAATAACAGGTGTGTCATGAAGAGCATCACCTCTGAATAATCAGCCCATTTAGTATGATCAGCAACAGAGGGTGGTATGCCCACCCTCAGAGACTGAACGACAAGATCCTGATTCAGGAACTAGACAAGAGCCTCAGTAAGAAATTAAGTTTCCTAGTGTCCTCCTAGTCCCCTCATCCTAGGGGATATTACACCTTGGTATGCATCATCTTGAAATCATACGCCTTATAGTAAGCAAACCAAAGGGTGATGTTAAGTTTTGCAGTATTTCAGGGTAGTATTTAATAGGGTCAGTATTGCACACTGCACCTCTAAATACTCACTACCATGATCTACTTCTGTTGCTTCTTAAAGATTGCATTTTATGCTTCCTATGAAAATGTTCTGTTCATCATGATGTACAGATTCTACAGAAAGGAGCCTGTGCAAAATCTGTCTGACTAATTCTGAGATAGAAGAACCACTCATTTTCTCAAACCATTAAAAAGGTTCCTAACGTTCCCTTTCTTTACTCCATATACTCCAAACAGATGTGTGTTTAAGACTTTATGCTATATAAAGTTTATGTCCCTGTTGAGAATTCCATAAAAGTTTACGCCTGTTGAGATTTCTGTCTTTGATCAAAGCCAGTTAAGTGATAGAATCGTAGAGAACTAAAATCACACAGAGCTTCGAGAGTACTTTCTTATTTTTATTTTTATGCATCTTTGATCTAATAATTTTTCAGCAGCACATTAAGTGGTTCATCTTAACTCTGATGACATCTGATAGCCTTTTTAAAAAAAAGTTGTATATTATATGTTATCATAACAAATATTTTTTTTCTTTTTGAGTCCTCACCAAGACACTGAATTGCCAATGAAATTTTCATCCAATACACATATCCAGAGTACAAAGTTTGCATTACCAAAGGGGTAGGAGGATTAAAACTAAGAATTCTAGCTGAATTTAAGAAGAATCATAGATCTGAAAACCCGAGCACCTGTAATAATAATGTCACATCATCTTTTCTCCCTTCTGCTATGAACTGAAAGTTTTCCATGTTAATATCACTCTCTTTTTCAATCACCAATGTGACGGTGATATTAACAAATGGAGATGCCATGTTCGTATAATTTCTAATATTTAAGGTTTAAGTTATTACTAGGTAACTAACTCTCAATATTTGCCTAGACTGGTGTAGACTTTCCACCAACACACTAAAAGTTAACAGGATCTTTTATGTCACTGAAGTTGCTCTCAAATGACAGCAAAAGTCTCTGGCCCTGGATCTTTGCTATGCAACTTAGATAACAGTAGAAGAAATTCCTCCTGCAGGCAAAACTCCAGTGTACTGTTTCATTACAAAGGGGGTGCCAGACACACTCAGAATATCAAACAAAACTGCCCCATGAGTGTTTTCTACACCAAAACAGTCAGTAAAATGTAGTAGTGAAAAAGTTGGAAAGGCATTAAAAATTTCTTCCATTTGGCAAGGAAAATTAAAATTCAGGGACTTGGCTCTGAAAAAAAAGATGACAGTAATTCTTTCTGACCAACAAAATCAGTTGTATTTACAACGTCAGTCCCAAAGTAAAGGATATCAGCTCCTTGTTACAGATTTTAAATGTTAAATTTATAATTTTAAGCTGGTATACAATTATAAACTCATTCCTATTCCTCATCTGAATTCCATTTTATGATAAGAAATTTGTCACAAAAAGGGGGGTTATGATAGGATTTGTATCACAGAATCACCATGGCTGGAAGGGGCCTCTGAGATCATCGAGTCCAACCTCAAAAAAACCAAACCAAACCAAAACAAACCCCAACAAAACAAAAAACACAACAGCCCACCACATCACACCCACCCACAAACCAATAATCTTGGGCACTAGAGCATGCCCTGAAGAGCCATATCTACACGTTTCTTAAATACCTCCAGGGATGGTGACTCCACCACCTCCCTGGGCAGGCTGTTCCAGTGCCTGACAACCCTCTCAGTAAAGTAATGCTTCCTGATATCTAATCTAAACCTCCCCTGCCACAACTTCAGACCATTTCCTCTGGTCCTGTCATTATTCACTTGGGAGAACAGGCCAACTCCCACCTCTCTACAACCTCCTTTCAGGTAGTTGTAGAGGGCAATGAGATCTCCCCTCAGCCTCCTCTTTTCCAAACTAAACATGCCCAGTTCCCTCAGCCTCTCCTCATAGGACTTGTTCTCTAGACCCCTCACCAGCTTGGTGGCTCTCCTCTGGACATGCTGCAGCACTTCAATGTCCTTCCTGTAGTGAGGGGCCCAAAACTGAACACAGTACTCAAGGTGAGGTCTCACTAGTGCTGAGTACAGGGGCACGATGACTTCCCTACTCCTGCTGGCCACGCTATTCCTGATACAGGCCAGGATGAGTACCATGTATAGTACCATGTATTCATCTGCCAGTCTTGTGACTTAAAAATATTGCATTCATCATCAGGAAAATATGCTTACTTTTGATTTCTGGTATTCTCTTTCATTGTTTTACCTTCTTTTCTATGTTACATGGGTGAGTTCAGTATAGAGCATTAAGTTTACTTTGAATCATTGAATTATCAAACAAAGGGAAAGAGCAGCTCACCTAAATTTTCACTGATGTTGAAAACTCCTCTAGCGCTAAGCAAGAAATACAGAATGAAGTTCTCTTTCACCAATGTAAGTTGTATTCTGTGTTTCACTAAAGATGGTGAAAGACACTTTGATTTTTCTTAATTAAAATTTTCATTAAATTAAGAAAAAAAGTAGAATCTAGAGGGATGATGTGCCTACAGCATGGATCAGGCTGAATGAATGCAGTTTTATGAGCAAAACCTCAGATGAAAGGTGTCTTCATTTACTGTGGCATCCACAACTTTTCTGGGCAACCTGGGCCACTGTCTCACCACTCTTAAAGTAAAGAATTTCTTCCTAATAATCAAAATCTACCCTCTTTCAGTTTGAAACTGTTACCCCTCATCCTATTGCTATACTCCCTGATAAAGAATCCCTTCCCATCTTTCCCACAGGCCCCTGTTAGGCACTGAAAGGCCACTGTAAGGTCTCCCTGGAGCCTTCTCCAGGCCGAACATACCAAACTCTCTCAGCCTGTCTTCGTAGGAGAGGTGCTCGAGCCTTCTGATCATCTTTGTGGCTCTCCTCTGGACTTGTTCCAACAGGTCCATGTTCATTTAACCAGATACATGTATCTGGGATCTGTGCAAAACCCGCAGTTATTTACTTATTTATTTTACAATGTCTGCAGCAAATGCCACGCAAGCCTTTGATAAATCCCACTAAATTAAATGCCAAGTAAACGCTTGCCAACAAAACCACCATTTTAGAAATAGTTGAGTGCATTTTCCGTGCCTTTTACTGGAGCTGAGGAGGACAGACTGATGAATGGCAAACTGAAAAATCTAAGTAGCTAGATAGTGCAGAGTTGTCTGCTGCACGCAGCAGCACAAAACTGCCCCTATAGGCCCAGCAAGTCCTTGTCTGCCTGCATTTACACAAGCAGCTGGTAAGTTCTTCCAGAGCCCTGAACAGAATTGGTACTCACAGTTGTGGTATCCTGCTTCCTGGGATAAAGATGTGCTTTTCAGTCTTCCCGTATTTGAGAATGAAGAGATGCAGTGCTGCTGCGCGGTGTTGGTCAGGCCTGTTACTTCAGTAATGAAATCTGAGAAATCTTGTTCTTTCTGTTTTTATCATGAGCTGCTTAGATTGTCTCTTTACTCCTAGTTACAGTTTGTTGCTTGAAGGGGATAGCAGCTTCCCTTTTTTTCCCATAGACCTTGTTGGGAGATTGCAGATCAGCACGACTCCTTTTCCTGGGAAAGAAAATGGAGGGAAGCAGCAACTCCTGCTTCACCTGGTAGCTGATGTTCTTACCTTGCTGACGATAGCTCTGCCACACCACCGGCAGGCTATGCAGCTCAAATGTGTTTTAATAGGCATATGAAGGAAGGGAGGACAGGGATTTACGTTGTCTGGAGTGACATACTAATACAAATACAGCATAGGACAAAACAAAGAAACGCTTGAAAGAAAGCTTGGTTTGACAATGGTGCAGGTGTCACTGGGAGAAGAAAAGGGGTGGAGGGGAGTTTCTCTTCATGGCACAGTGAGGTATGACTATAGCAGGAGCAGACATGTCAACCCATAGGTAGATGGCCCAGACAACGCTGATGCACAGTCATTAAAATACAAATCCAGTATCCCTAATAAGCCCATACTCCAGTAAATGCATCTGCATAGCATTTGTTGTGCTGCATAAATTAAAAGTAATTAAGACATGCTGCAATTACATGTTTTTGTTTTGCTGTTTATAGGCAAGGTAGGGTTAAGATGACTCTGAAGTGAGAGATGGGGAAGAGCCAGGTGGATGCAAAGGTAACACAAGGTCAACAAGCTGATAGGTTTTCAGACTTTCCAGTGAATTTGGAGGAGACAAGGGAACAGAGCTGAACTCACTGTGGACAGAAATGGAAGGCAGCAATGATAAAGATGTAAAATGATCATCAAAGAGTAAAAAGAGATGATAACATAGTGATGAGGAAGAACAGTGGAGCCATGAGTCCAGGACTTAACATCAAATGTTGAGTCAGGAGCGAGGAGATAAGAGACTTCCAGATCAGATACAGACTTCTGTATTAAAAAGAGTTTTGAATGGTGCAGTTTTCTTCCTTTGTATCACTTAGCTCTTCAGCTGTGCTCCCTCAGCTGTAATATCTTTGTGGTAGCAGGGAGATTGCACATGAAGTAGAAGACAAGAAAACACAAAAGGCCAACTTCTTGTTCATAGGACAGTGTTCTATAAAGCACAGGTATTACAGCTATCTTTTTGATTTGGGTGTGTACAGTACATTTTTATTTGGTAGCTAAAGAATTTATCTGTCCTAAGTGTGTCTGTAAATTTGTGAATGGCTGTGAGCAACAATCCTTCACACTCTTCTTCTAATTAGCATACATTTCTCTATTTCTTTTCTTTGTCTATTTTTTTTGTTTGTTTGTTTTGGTGCTTGCAATTTCTTTTGAGAGGAAACCTTTCTACTTTCCGTTATTCACTTCCTTTGGTTACATCATTGCTAGGTTCAAGAGAATATCTCCAGCATAAAAATGGAGAAAAATAGAAGGATAAGGTACTAACATTTCTCAGAGCCTTTTTGGTTTGTTTTTTTTTTTAAATCAAGCTGTTTTTAGAATCAGAAAGATAGAAATGGTTTACACTGGGATGGTTTACAAAATGGACTTCCAGAGATTTTTAAGTGATACTGCAGAGAAGACTTCACAATTTGAAAAGGACATATTTCCTGGAGCAGAGAAAAATGTTTGGGAGTGGTTGTTCACACTGTCATCTAAAAAGAAAACTATATACATAACACTACACCCACGGGAGAAAAAAAAAAAAAAGCAAAACTATGAACAATGTGGCAATGTACTGTGATAACAAAAAACTCATCTTTAAAAGAAATAAGCGTACTGTCAACATGGCTATACATCACACACATTGCACCAATCAAACCAAAATGGTCTAGAAACTACCATACTTAGTTTTAGCTTAAGGCAAACATGATATAGAATGCATGAAGCAAACTCTACCAGGTCAGCTGGTAATTTAACAAGCCAAAACCTACTTTCTGTAAAATGGAAAAGGTTTAATAGAATAGGTTAAATGTCACTCATTGTATTTCATCAAATACCAGTTTTGAGTGTTCTCTTTATAGCTAATTGAATTTGGGTGAACTTGAAGTTGCCTGAATTAGTTTGTCTGATCGAACTAACTTACTTGAACTGTTTTCCAGGTTTAAAAAAGTGGTTTCAAAATAATAAAAAATACTCATAGGAAAAGCAAACTGTTTACTTTCAGCAACAACCCCTTTTATTTTAATAGTTTGAGTTTTATAGATTACATTAAGATATCCTACTATTGTGTGATACCAAACAGAAGTTATCTTTACTGTTAGCATTATAGTGGACTAGGGTATTATTTACACCATCTATATGCAGAATATAATTACTTAAAATTAAATATTTCAATTATATTTTTTTAATTGGGCTTTAATCTATAGTTGTTTATTTTTTTAATGGATAATTTTATAATTTGACCCTGTTCCCTCAGTATACACCTACTTTGTGACTTACAATGGGTTTTTGTTTAAGGGTATACCTAATTATTAGACAACATGTTTCTAAAGACGTTTCCATGATCAAGTAAGTATTAACATTTTTACTTTGACCTGCTCTATTTACACATTTCATTTTATGTTTCTTACTAATTTTCCCTCACTCAATTGGGTGGGTTTTTTTTTTCAAAAAGCAAGGATGTGCATGCAGCATGATCATTAATATCCATGTCTTCTCCAATTCAGTTCTCTCAGTCAACACTTGCATCACTGGAAAAATAATGAAATTGATTTCATTGTGTGCATGTCTAGGAGGGACTAGACCAACTCTATGGTTCAGTGGGATTTAGGCACTTAAATATATAGCAACTTTGAAATCGAAGGCTTCAGCATTTTTCTAGATGACAAATATAATTCATTCAAAGCTAAATTCCTATATTTAGATTTCTCCTTATGTATTTATTTATACACTATCTCCATTAGCAAATATTTATAAATATACATAAATGTGTGTGCATGTATATGCATTTCTTTCAGCAAGTATTTCATTCTTCCTTGATTTTATAATGGATGCATGTATATGCATCCATTTTAAGCATAGATGTGGCAAATATCTTAACAAAATATACTTAAGAAAGGATCATGAGATAGGATGTAGAAAGATTAAGAAAAATAGCAATGATAAAATATATGAACTTGGAAAGAGATATTGATCTGGGAATGAATTATTTGTGCATGCTAAAAATCCATGTAATTGAGAGATGACTCAATGACTCTCAATGACTGCAAAGAAGGGAGTACTGATTTTGGCAGCTAATATATGATAACAAACAAATTAATCAAGCTAAAATCAATTATGTAAAATACATTGCAAATATGGTGTACCAAAAAAGGAGGTAAAATACCTGAAACAATCCTTCTTCTTTGTGATTCTTAAATGACATTCATAGAAATTGTTTTGTAGAAAACAGATTTCTAGTGGTTTTAGTTATGTAAATAACTATATATTTAAATAGTTTATACATTTCACCTTTTTTTTTTTACATCAGTCTTTCAGGTTTTCTCTTTTGCCATCTTTTTATACGTTGGGAAGATCCATGGAATTCTTCCCACTTTTTCAATAAAACTAGCAAATTTTTTTATACAGAAAAAACTAACAACTATGAATGACATGATATGTTTAGGAAGGAACTGGGATTTGTTATGAAACAGAATTTTGAAGATAATTCTTTAAATAGATAACAAAACTATGATATTAAACATGGTTATTGACTTCTTAAATGAGGGAGTTTTCAACTTTACATAATTGTGGCTTTTTAGTCTACAATATTTCCTTAATAACTTAACCTCTCAGGTTTGATTTTGGTGCTGGTTACTAATGTTTATAGCTTGAATTATGAATATCATTTTATCTTGCACAAGGAAGTGGTTTATATCTGTATCTCTATGTGTGCCATAATGTTTGTATAACCGATAAAAATTTGCTACTGTGCTACACTGAAACAAACTTCCTAATAATTGCCATGGAAATAAATTTGGCAAAAGTGCAGAACTGAACATAAAGGTTATCACAAGCATTTTAACTGAAATTATGTGATCAAGATTTTGTATTATGAATTCATTTAAATCTTGAGATATTAATGTATTTTGCTTTTTAACAAGCGATTCTCTGACATGTCTAGGTTTCATGTTCCTAGAAGCTACATTTTGAGCTGAATCTCCCGAATTACACAAGATTTATAAATTTGGTAAAAGAAAACATTGCCATTAAACTCAAGGTAAGAAATTATTATACATTGTTTTATGTATCTTTATATAAAAAGTTACAAGTAGCAAGCATATGACACAGAAATGGAACAGTAACAGCAATAATTGTGAATGCATGCTTTTTACAATGCATCTAATAAAGGGATTTTTTCCAACTCAAATATTCAATAACATACATGCAGATTATTTTCTCAATGTCAAATTCAGTCATATTGCTAGATGCTTGTCCAACAAACATTTCTATTGAAGTGACTATGAACGGCTAAATACCTGATTTCAATAAATTGTTCCTGAAACTGGGAATTTAACTTGCAACAAAAAGAAGAGAGAAAAAAGAAAAAGAGAAATGACCAATAAGCATAATAACCAAAGTCTTATCACCTTCTAGCAATTTTACTCAACACTGTTTGCTGAATTTTGTCATGATATGAGAATAGCTGGTCAGAGAGTCCATAAAACCTCTAGCTGGTGTTTCCAAGGACGATAGTTTCACATTTCATTGTAGCATGTTCAAAATCACCCAGGAGCGCACTATTCTCAAGCAGTCTATATAATGAAAACAATGTACATATAACAAAAGTTCAATGTAAATCTTCTTCCACATATCACACAACATACAAGTAAATAACAGACATAAAAGGTATCAACTGAAACAAAATTAAGATTTTGAAAAAAAAAAAAAAGGACAGTCTCAGGAGCTAATTTCTTCAAGTTTGCAGCAAATCTCCAAATATATTTAAAAACTAAGGAGCACTTGGTGGCTAGCAAATTACAAAAGAAACATATTATTGTGCAATGGGAATATCTTATCAAGAAAGAAAGATATGTCTGTACGTCTTAGGTTTGGATAAAGGCAATGAAATGAAATCAGAAACATGTCCACTTTCTCTTTCAGACAGCTGAAATGATTCACTATAGGTTTTTCCATTTAGCATTTGCATGACTGCATGAATAGTTGTCTGAAAGCAAAACCAAGTTAAATTATATTCTATGAGGAAAAATACAGATAAATATTTACCTAAACTATCTAGGAGCAACAAAAGCATTAATGGATTCTTTCCCAGTAAAATTGCTCTATACATATATATACATATAAATATGTATATACACATATCTATGTTTTTATATATAAACATATACATATATAACTTGACAGACTAACATCTATCTATAATTTCATTATAAACATCTGATATTATGTTTATTGAAATTGTTGATAACAAATTATACAGAATAAATAGCCTAGGAAAAGAGTCAAAAGATGAAGATTAATTTGTAAACATTAACATTAGTTCTACAGAATCTCTAAATTTGTCAGTACTACCACATATTCTTCCCTCAACACTTAACAAGTTTGAAAGAATAAAATGAACTGAAAACAGATAGTTCCACATCTTCATGGTTTGGGTTAGATTGCCAAGTTTTACATACTGTTTCACATGCTGGGACTCTAAATTCTATTTTCACAAATAAAAAAAAATAAATGAAACACCAGGGCCATGCAAAGCATCCACATTTTTAATGTGTTTGGAATGAAGATTATATTTAGCTAGGGGATGATTATAGTGCTGTCAAGAATAAGGAATGAATAGATTTTGCTCAGTTTACAATGCTAAAGTGGTCATCTGTCTTTCAGTTTTCCCAGTATTCAAAACTGACTCTCTCCATACAAGGTGACATATAACTTGAGAACTAACATGCATTTTAGCAATGAAACAAATAAAATGGAAAACAATAGATGGTTCAATTGTTGTATAAGTATATTTACTTACCTCAAGTCTGTCTCTTAGACCCTAGTTGTGTTGTACTCAGACTCATGTTTGCTTAGAGACCCAATGAGGCAGAACCTGGAATGTTATGGCTATTTCATTCAAAATAATAATGTTTGCATAGAAAAAAAGAAATATATGCATATAGATACTTAATAAATATTACACCATGATAATCTGATCAATATTCATGAAGTAATTTACATTGGCATGCAATTAGATTAAAATAATCAACTAACTTTTTTTTTTAAGAGACAGAAATGCCTTAATGTGCAAAGAAAATATGGAGGGCATGTAAACAGTCACAAGAAGTGCATAAATAATGCATGCAAGAGAAAACAAATATATATTAAAAAGTTTCTGTGTGGTTTTTTTTTTTAATAAATGGTTCATAAATGTTTCTGATTTTCTTTTTCTTTTACTTATAAACTTTTAGTCATTCATATTTACAGTCATTCAAAGTGCAATATACAGTAGAAATAGCTTTTATTAAAAATATCATGCTTGACTACTTTTTTATTGAAGATTCCTCTTCACTACATTCTTATATGTAAATATATAAGTATTCTTTATTTACTATGATGTCTCATGTTCTAACTGATATATATGTTAATATTACAACTCAAGATACTGTGGTTAATAATGGAACAGATACAGTAAAGTTTTGCAAATACTGTCATTCATTATATAAAAGATGGTGTTTCATGAAAAAAGGGGTTTCCTTACCCCAGGATTGTGTCTCATTATTGTGCCATGCATCAAAATGGATACATGTATCTTTTTATTTATTGATGTATTGATTTAGAGATTTTAGACCAACAGTGAATAATACTCAAGGCCACCTCAATTACAAGGAAACCACAGGTATGTGACTCTTTCGAAAACTAGATTCACACAAAATCTTCTTTGGTTTTTAAAAATTGTACCTGTTCTCTGTTGACCTGTGTGTGTATGCATGTGGGTATGTGTAAAATAGTAAAAGAAAAAGAAAGATATAAAGTATAAAGGTAAAACTGAGATACAGGATCCTTCAAGAAACAGTAGCAGAGATGAGAAAAAGAGAGTCAGGAAGAGAGAAATAGTATAATGGTATGTGCTATCAGGAAACAGAAATTTAAACAATAAATAAAGAGGAAAGAAAATATGTCTTTACTGAAAAAAGAGTGAATATGGTTGGGCAATCAAGTCCTTACACAATAGTCTTCATCAAAAATCTATTGATACTGACCGCTGAACAGCTTTATCATGTCTGGACAGCCTGTGACTTGTGGTTGGTACCTCTTCAATTTCGTCTATCTCACACGCATCTGCAGCATCTTGTGAGTAGCTATGCTTCATGACAAGGATATTTCTCCTGTTTATGGGCTGAATGAGTGGTTTTACAGGCTGGGGTTGTATTTCTGTCAAGACAGAAGCATCTCTTGTGCTGAGGTTACTACGGCTGCCCTTAATGCTAGACACTTGTGATCCACAGTGATGGTCATGAATGCATTTTGAAGATGATCTCCGCAGTTTATGGTAATTTTCAAAGTCATCTGCAACATCAGCAAGGTCAGCTGTAGTCCCTGTCCCTCTGAGGGTGCATAACTCATAATGAGGAGGTTCAAACACCTCCTGGAACACTGTTTGATCAAAGTCTGTTTTCCTTTGGACAAATTTTTTACGAGGCTGCTTGATCTGTACTATAACAGAGATAACAATGAGGATGATCACAATGCAAGAAGACACCCCAATTATAGTCCCACTGGTATTGGTAAGCTGGTCCAATAGGTTAGCTTTTCTTTTTTCTGTGTGACAGGAGAAAAAAAGAACAGCATTAATTGCAGTTCAAAAATAAACGATGGGTTCACAGATTATGGCAAAGCTGACCTTAGTCTGTGTCTGAGTTCACTTAATCAATCTTGCTGACAAAAAGTAAAAAGGAAGAAATCAGGTATATGTGAAAGCCAAATAAACAACACGCAGGTCCTCTGCATGCCTATCCACTTGGAAAGTGATTTACTCAGGGTATAATACGGGCTTAATAAGATGAAAGAATTATTTACATTTTTTAAAAAAAGCAACCACCATAACAAGCAGATGGCTATAATGTAACCTCTGATCTCTATTTAGCTGCTAAAACCCCCAAGACTGTTACAGATGTTCTCTTCATTATTTTCTGTATTTCCAGTACATATATGCAGCTAGGACATTTGGTCCAATGAAAGGGCAAGACTTTCAGGTTTTAAAAAGAAATTCTTTGCATTGGGAACTTCAGTGAAGTCAGGAACAGAAAAGTTACTCAAATTGAGGTTTCAGAAATTAAAAAAAAAAAAAAAAGTATGCAAGTTTCACTGAATTTCACTGAATTTTTAGAGTTGGAGGGGACCATAGAGATCATCTAGTCCAACTCCCCTGCTGAAGCAGGATTGCCTACAGTTATGTCTTTTTTCCTGACGTATTAATTACCACAACTTTTCTAAACACCCATAAAAACTTAAAAGCTGATCCTACCTACTGTCTTTTACACAGGGGCCTCCAGGAAGTTAGCCAGCAAATTCAGCATTGTGAATGAAGGAAACCAGAAAATATACAGTAAAATAATAAAAAAGAAAAATAGTTTCACCCTACTGTTGTTTATGTTTCTTTGTGATTTGCTTTCAAATGGCTGCAGACACATGAGATGGTGACTGAGCCTTGTAGAAATCCAAGCTGAAAGCATTCGCATCAGTCTGTCACAGGCATAGCAAGACTTAACAACTGTGATTAAGTTTCAACACCCAGTCTAGTGTAATTTCTCCTGGCAACCTAAAACATATCAAAGGACTTAATAAAAAGCCCTTGAAATGAAAGTTATTGGCAGCAAAACAATAACATCAATCTCTTCTTAATCTCCTAGCTACCAAAAATGAACTTTTCAATACTCCCCATTGCCTACTCTTGTAGATTCACCTGGGGTTTCTCTAACTGACTGACACACTCTGGGGATGTAGCAGAAAAAGCAACGGAACAGCAAACAATCTTTTTGCTGGAATCAGCAAATGTCCTTTTTCTAGTCAAAAAACCAAGAGAGGATAAACGCATAAGACCCAATAAAAAGATACTTGGCAAATGAAAGATGAAAATAATTCTGGAAATTAAAGAATGGAGAAGGCTTTCTGGGGTTTTTTTGTGCTTAATAAGTAAAGAGCAGATAATTATTTCTCAATCGTATTTTTAGTTTCTTTGAAGAATATTATTCCATGCCATAGTTTTGTTGTGTTCTTTTGAAGTATGTTTTCATTTGTGCTTTACCTTATTGCACTGCTTGTCAGGATTTTACAGGCTTCAGCAGACTTATGAGCTGACTGCTAATCCATCCCATTCTGATTTTTTTTCTTGATTGGTTCCTAAATTTGGCATATCCCATGTTTCCAGGAACAAATCTGCAGTTGTGGGAGGGGGGAGGGAAGCAAACTGTCTCCCTAGCCTGCAATGTAAGTTAAACTCTTTTCTCTGAAGACAACACAGATGCTATTTTTTTGTTTCCAGAAGCACAAAGCAATATTTAGAAATGATTGTCACCACCTGGTTGGGAACATCAGTCCCTACCTATGAAATAGAGATTATGCTTGATTTCCTGTGCTGTTCCTTGCTCTTCAATTTCACTTGATTATAGGTAGATTTGGTTGCTTTCTTACAGTGTTAACTCCACTTCACCTTGGCTTTTTAGCCCACCTGGGCTATTATGGGCATAGCATGCAGCTAAAAGACACCTGCTACTCATATGTTACTCCACTACAAAGGTAACTATGACAAAGAAACAAAAATATTACTTTTAATTACATTTTAGATTGCATGGGAAGCAGAAACCAAGTGATCAGAAAGCTTGCCAGAAGGACATAACCAGCCAGAAGGACACGGCCAACACAAATCAACAACAAGCAAAACAAATGCAAATACTGAAAGTAAAATCCATCAGTATTTTTACCTCTTTTCATTTTCTCTATTGCTTGATGTATGCTCTCCCTGAATTACTCTTCCTGAGCTTTGACCCATCTGGCACATACTTAACAAGAAACTAAGGATAATATTCTGTATTCCACACTGTCTAAATGACTTGACATTTCCAATTCTACACATTACCTTTGCAGTGATTTTCATCCCAAGGATACACACAATTCTGGAGTCCATTGCAGACCAATGTATTATTAATACACATATTACTGTGGCAAAAGAATGTGTTGGCTTCACAAGGGGCTAAAAACAAGAGAGAAAAAGCTGATATTAAGTAGTAAATCACTCAGTTTTCTGCAACAAGCACATCCAGGAGTGATCATGTAATCTGTAATAGGAGAAAGCTGTGCAAAAGAGGTTCCTCAAACATATTTTATATTTGGCATGAAGCATTGAGAACACTCAAGTCAGACATTGCTTATTATTCTATAGCAAGAGATTTTAAGTTCTAGGATGGATGGACTTTTCCACAGCCTGAATCTTATATTTGGCCCCCCAAACGTTGCTGGGGGATCATTCATGGGTTATCAACATTTTTAGGCACAGATCCAAAACAGAGCACCCTATGGGCTGCTATGAAAAAAGTTAACTCTATTCCATGTACTTTCATGCCCATATGAATGGTGCCTGAACTTTTATACACAGAGAAAACAAAATTATTATAAACCCCTGTTGTTCCTAAGAAAGGCTACTGCAAAAAAAGTATGCCTTTGATCACAAATATGAAGATTAAAAAAAAACAACCAGTCTTCAGTGTCCCTGAAGCCTATGGTGTAGGAGAATCATGCAGATAAAAGCTGCAGGATGAAGGCTTTACTGAAGGCCATACACTATTACTGTGAAGAAGCAGCTTGGAAGCCATCAGAAGGAATTGTACACACTGACAAACTGTGCTACTTACTTGCATTGGGAGTCGGGAGATCCTTAGGTGTTAGGGCTGTAGAGATACTACTCTAAAATCATATAAAATAGCAAAGATAAATTATGCCTCATACTTTTTTTCATTAAAACCAAACCAGAAGACCTTCCTCCATTTAGAAAAAGGGCTACAAACTTTATCAAGTCACTAAAAAATTAACTGTTTATATATCTTTTTATCTCAAAGAACTCAAAAGCATTATTATAATTATCTTAAGGGAAAGTTAAAAAATAACCTAAGACTCTTAACTAATCTGAAGGGAGTTATGATGCTCATATTATTGATAATTTGATGCTTCATGGCATTTTTTCTCCTCTGCAACTTTAAAAGCAGTTCCTATGACAACATATATGCACAGCACAGAGACCGGCTCAGAGCAGATGACTGCTTCAGTGGTTTGTTAACTAAAGGCAGTAAAAAGGATTTATATTGTAAAGCTTAATGACTAAATATATCATGTCAAGAAATGCACTTTTGAACAAATGCTGAAGTTCAGATATCCATAACTGACTGTAATGGCTTCTTTAGAGAAGTTATAGCCTGCTAAACAAATAATATATGCCATCAAAACTTGTATACACCCCCAAATATGCAAACATCCACTCAGATGTAACAATATATGCAGACTGATCAGACAGAATGGTTCAATTTTTTGAAAAATCTGGTGTACTACCTCTTAAGAGACCCTGTTCGGGTGTTTAGTTTGTTACAGGAAGGATTTTTCTTTAAACTGGACAGAAAGAGCAGAACATCACATATGCATATTAGCAAGTGAGGGTGTTTTGGGACAGTTCTTGTCTGTTGCTGTCATTTGGGGACAGTGAGGGCTGAGTCTGGAGGACACTGTGACACATTATACAGAGGACCCACCAGAGGTACTATCACCCTTTCACACCCTAGCTGCAATCCCTGTTTCTGGGAAAGGCGAGGATCTTTGGGGACTGGTTCTTTCCAAGACACAGAAAGATTTTCAGTGCCTGCTCTAAGCAAAAACGAAACAGAGCAGGAGAAAATTTGTAAAAGGGAAACCTAAGTAGTCCTGAGTAGCCACCCATTCAAAATATGTGGTAATAAGTAGGAAGTGCACAAGAAAAGAAGACACAAATGGAGAACTCACGAGGAGTAACAGGGGAGCCAGGGGATTAAAAAAAGAAAAAGTACAGGATTAGGGAAATTCATGCTAATAAAGCCATCAAGGAGAAAAAAAAAAACCCTACAAAACCACCAAAAAACATGCACAGTAACATGAAAAGCCTTAGAAGTGAAGTGGTGAGGGCAGAGTGCTGTGTCTGAGCAGGCAGAACCTCTTAGCTGTATGTCTATGACTTGCTCTTGCCAGGTTAAAATCAGTTTGATTTAATCCTGAATGCAACAACAAAGAACGGATTAATAGTGGAAAAATAACCCCCAATAGAATATACAAAAAATTAAGGGAAGGAAGGACAGTTGTGTGAGGAAGAAATAAAGGAATTTAGAAGTATAGTGGTGGTAAGTAAAAAAAGGAGGAACTAGAGGAAGGTAGTAAAGGAAGTGAAAGGAAGAGGAAGAAAGAGAGAACTGCACAGAAGAAACACGATACAAGGCATTCTGCACTGAAAGGAATGACGAGAGATTTCTATTTCAAAATAAAATATTAGAGAATGTTTCAGAAAAAAGAGAGACAAAATAAAAGCAGTACAAAAGATGTTTTTTACAGATTTAAGAAGGGATAGTTATGCAAAGTGAGGGCAGGGAGATCTGGAAATGAAAGGAAAGGGAAAGGAAGGAAGAAGAAATAAAGTTTCAGTTTCTCTAAATTGTGCTGTTGAACTATGGCGGAAGAAGATGGCATGTGAATAAATGTCAAAACTAGATAAATAGCAAGGCAGAGCAATTTCAGAGTAAGTCCAGCAAACTTAGCATGAGAGAAACAATGACAAACAGCCCCCTCTTGTTCATGTTTATAGAATTAGTATGATCAAGTTCTCTCTGTAGTTCCTTGAACCTGGAGGGATTAGTCTGGTCAAGAAATCAATATATTTTCCCCACTCTAATGAAGGCTTTTTGTTGGAATGAATGAAAGCATCAAGGGAAGCTGAAAACTTGTCAGTCCCGTTGTACATTGGAGGAATTAGTTTTTTTGCCCTTGAAGAGGCACAGCAAAGGGGTCTTGAGATCCTGCATCAAGGAAATTCTAGTAATGGCAAAAAGATAAATGAACTGGAAGCTGTTACAGAACCCAAGATGGGAGTAGAATCGAGCAGAAAAGGTATGTGGCAGCAGCACTTGTTAGCTTGAACACACAGAGCTCTGCCTTGGGCTGGACAAAGAGCCAAGTGAGAGTTTTTGGGTCAGGAAGAGTGGTCAGCCCAATGTTGGCCCAGAGCTATCAATACTGTAGTTGATGTCTGTCTGCTATAGACTACCTGATCAGGGACAAGAAGTATATGAAACCACCTTTAGACAATTGAAAGAAGCCTCACATTTGCAGCCTCTGGTCCTTATGGGGAATTTTAACAACCTGATACCTGTGGATACACAGCAGGGCACAAGGTATGTCAGTTGCCAAAGCAAGATGGGGGAAAAGATGAATATGATGCTAAATGGGGCAGGTGACTTGAAATAAGTGAGAGAGTATATTCAGCACAATGAACAATCTATAATCCAAGTGAGAAAATTAGAACTATACATATAACTCAACCTGATGTTTTTTGATAACTTTAGGTCTTTGATAAGTTGTTGGATTTTTACAGCATGAAAGCACTATAATTTAAATGAAATCACTGTTTAAAGAAAAAAACATTATTAAAGGTTCTTTTTTCCAGTTTGGATTTGAAATAATAATTACTTTTATGTACAATACGTTTATATAAAATAAATCCAAACCAATTTCATCCTACGTTATTTTTAATGTTAATATTTTCTTTTAAAAAATTTCTGTAGTATGTGTAGGGATACCTTGCATCTTAATATAAAACCAGATTTTATAGTTATTGAATTAATTATAAAATAACATCTGCTTTGCAACAAGTATTTGCACTGAACTATTTATACTGAACACAAGATGGTGCACTTATCCTAGAAGATATATAAGCAAGTCTTTTTCAGGTTTAGGAAATCTATATTTTTAAAAATCCAATAATAATAACCCTATTTCTGTTATCTGGTATGTAAATATATTTTGTATATAGTACAAGTTAGGAGATCGTTATAATGATCATATTTTGAGAAGATTGCCATCACAGTATTCAAAAAAGCCCGAGTTTAGTATTTGAAGGTTACTGTTTTCAAAATTTATAAAAATTGAGCTAATAGATTTATCTATATTTTCTTGCTATTGGAAGATTTCAGGAATGCACATGGAGCCAATAATCTATACTTTTTTATTTCTTAATGCAAAATGATCATAAATTCTTCTAATCCTGAATAGCCCTTAGGCAGAGAATTCTCCCATATGCAATGTTTATGAAGTAACATGAAATAAAAGCATTCGTATTTTATATTTTAAAAAAGTACTGCTTTCACCGGGGCAATAAAATAAATAATCATAAGTAATATATTTTCATTTATATAACAAAATAACAATATTTATAAACCAATATAGCAATTAGATATTCTCTGTGTTATTAATACTTATACTATTGTGATGTATTGAAATTAGTAATAAAATACATTATCTGCGTGTTGAGCACCATTTTGTTGGGCATTACAGGATACTTTGGGTATAAAATGCAGACACAGCCAGGTCAAAATATTTTTGCAAGATGAAGTCAAACATTGACTTGTTATGTGTGAAGCCTGGCTCTTCCATCTCAGTGCAGTGCTTTCCCCAGTGTATTTACACTGTTTCTCAGCACCACGCAGAGTTAGTGCAACTCCTTTGTTTCTGAGGTGTGAATTATTCCGAGCAAGCTACCTTGGGTGTCTATGTCATACATACTTCATTGAATCGTGTGGATTTACCCTTTGAGCCTGTTTCAAGACAAGGATTTCATTCCAGGGTTCCCTAATCTTAGACGAATACCCTACCCTACTTGCTATTTTTAGACTTTTCTCTCTTCCCCCCTTCCCTTCCAGTCATAACACTTTTGAGAGGTCTTGCTTTCTTCTGAGGGTGAATTCTGAAATCTTAATAATGGTTAAATGTGATAAATATTTTACACTGAACTCGTTAGACATTTCACACCTACTCCTTATGTCCTCAAGATAGGTTGTTGCATCATTCTCCACACATTAATTCTTTAAGTATAGATCATTTGGCCTTTGACACTGTTCCTTACTGAAAAATAGAGCTTTCTTTCCTTCACAAGAGAAAGAAACATGAAATTCTTCAGATGTTCCTTGAATCATCCTTGAAACAGAGGAAGAAGTTTTCTCTCAGCCTCTCCAAGGAACAATTTATCAGTCATGTTGAGATTATTTCACTTACTTGATTAAAATATAAAATTATTAAGATGGTTTTAGTACTGTACACTACATTACCTAAAGTAAAATTACTTATCTTTTCATATGCCAGTAATGGAAAAAAAATATAATCTTATTAATATAGAGCTATTAGAAACTTGAAAATGAAATGTCCTTAAGATGGTATTTTCTTTCTTAGCCACCTTCAGACAGCTCTGTTCAAGATAAAAGTAACTTTTACAGATAGTTCTTACCAGACACACATCTAGTCTTTAAAAAACACTTATATGTGTTTTCATGGGGTTTTTTGGAACATGAACTCACCAGAGAATGGCAGCTCAGGAGCATGTACTCAGAGCTCAAACCTGTGTTCCATTTATACGTTCTAGGCATCACAAACACGTATTTTGTTCAGGGGCAGGGAGGCATTGGGATGCTTAACCTGTGAGGGTTTTTCACCAGAGATAACTACAAATAGCACAGAGGGGCAGAAAATCACAGATGAGTGCCCACAAGTAAGGAGGCGATCTCAATGTTTTCTTTTTTTATACCTGTTAGAGTGGAAGCAGGAAGGAAACCTAGCAAAGCTGCAGTCTATTTACACTCATAAATCCTTTCAGAGGGAAACCATCTCCTCACATATGTTGCACTTATCACTTTGTTGTTCTCTTTCTCAGTAGTTCTCTTTTTGTTACCATAATAAACACAGGCATTAATACTGCATACCTTTTCCCCATCAGAGAATTGCCCATGCTGGGATGATCACCTTCATGGATTCTGGCTGTAAACAAGGACTTGAGTGCTGTTAGTTAATAAAGCTGTGCACTACTCTTCTAAACGTGGCTCTAGATTTCTATCCAAATACAGGGTTTGTTAATAAAAAGTACGATAGAACTTGTGCTGCTTTAAGGAAATCACATGTGACAGGGCTTTCAAGACAGTATTAGAGCTCAACAGGGCAACAAAATAAGAGAAAGAATGATATTTTTCCGGTCTTAGGTTTTTGGTGCAGGGTTATGGATGGAAAAAGAAGCAGTACTACTAAATAGCAGTCAGAGGTGAGAGAGAAGAACCTCTTTCCCACTGTGCATACAGAGGGATTTTTTTCTTATTCCATACACCCTGGTTCTGTGAGTATGCTTTTAGGTTAAAGCATAGGTATGTCTGCTTCAGAGCAGCTCTTTGAAGAAGCTGTAGGTGTAGCTCGTCTGTCATTAATCAGGCTGGAGATCACTCTCACAGTTGTGGAAAATGAACAGTTAGTCAGCAGGTGAAAAGACAAAGACTCATTTTTCAAGTCTTCTTACCAGATGAACAGACACCTCTTGATGATACCAGCTTTCTCGTTTTCCTTTTTCTGATTCTTAAAGTAATTTATTGAATATTTGAAACCTATTGTTGACAGTGACTACCATATGCAAAAATATGATTAGATACATATGCTTAGAAGATATATTAAATATTAAAAAGGTAAGGACATAAGCAGACAAACCCCATAATGATAGTTGGAATAGCTAATAATGCTGATCATGAAATATAAAATCATCACTCTAAATTATCAGTAATTAAGAATTAATTGGATATTAAGTGTTACTTAGAGATCTACTATTCTGATGATGTGAGAATCATTACTAATTTTCTGGCATGGCATCACTGCTAGAGGTTTGAACACTTGTAAGGCCATTTTCTAGACACAAACAAAAAAGACACATATATTTCAAACGTAATTGGAGCACACTGATCAAACCATATGAAAATAGTCATATAAGAAATGTCTTTAAGATTTCTCTGTTCTACGCAAATATCAAGTCTCCAGGAAACAGCTCTATAACAAGAATTAACACTAAGCAGACTTACATAGAAAGAAAATATTCCTCAGGCTAAGTAGTCTGTTTCTACAAAAAACCACTTCCAGATCACAAACCCTTCTGTTAGGAAAGACTGTAATCTCAACAATTTATCTCCATACTAAGGAGGGGAACTTCGGGAGCTACAGATCACACCTCCTGGCCATTCACACAGCAACAGTACATAGAGGGATTTTTACTTTGTCACTCTTTCCCATACACATAACCACACATAATGTCATCTACTATTTTATTTCTTTCTCAGCTGTAGGTGAACATGATAGCTTTTTTCCTCTTTGTCCTGGGGTAGAGACACAGGTATCTGTTCCCTGATGCTTATCTCCCTGAATGAGGACTGACATTCCCTCTCTTCCATGCAGATGATCTAATTATTCCCACATGCTGCTGAAAGACATTGCAGTTTGCATGGTATGAGTTGTGTCTCGCAGTGCGCACACTGGACATCTGCTCCAGCTGACTCCTGACAGCCAGCACCAGTCTGCAGCATAGGGCAGCATTTCTGGACAACTGACATGTCACAGAAAGAACAATCATCATGACCTTTAAACCCTTAAACTCAACTTCCAGCACTAAAAACATGAATGCAGTTTCTTCTAATATTTATGAGCAGGCACAATTGAGCCCTTAATAAATTTTAAGCTTTTAGTGTGCAATGATTCTTTAGAACACATTTACAGAAAACACACCATGTTAATATTTTCAAATTCCCAGTCAGAATATCATACAGTATAAATTCTCATCTGTTTACAAGAACGGAGTAGCTCATAAGATGTAGGGTCTCAGGTAAACATATCAGGAATACTATAAGAGAAAAAAACACATTTTTCCTTGCAAACGCATACTTATTCAAACCTTCATTTCAAGTTAGTCATCACTCTCCAGTTCTTTTTATGCTGCGAACCTCCAGTGTCTATGCAGTTGTTTCTAAGGTAACAGATCAGGATGCCTTGTGAAAAAAAAATGAACTAGATCTTGAATATTCAAGACATCTCCAGTTGCAGAAATGAGAAAAGGGCAGTATCATCTCAGCTGAGGGTTCTCAGTGTCTTTTAGACCCTGGCCTGATTTATTGATAAGAAAAATATAATCCACCCTGAGGCTGCAGTGTGAGAGTAGAGTGGTGTATGCAGTTTCAGGCATGTAGCCTGTCAGAAATTTTTAATCAGAGCCATAATTAAGGAATTACAGAGGCTGCTCTCAACAGAGTCTCATTGCCTCATTGCAGGGTACACATACACAGAATACAGATGAAGAATGTGTTTGGTAGGATTGTGCCTTCATTCCAACCACTGACAACTGCACAGAAATCTTCCTGTCAGACATGTGATGCTCAAACCAAAAAATACATTAAAAGTGAAAGCGAATCAGTATGTGAAAATAAATGCATATACTCCTTCCTCAAGGTACCAAATATGCATTTTTTCCATCAAAGAAAACAAATCAATATCATTCACAGGTGACTATCTGAATCAATAACTTTCAGTGAATAGGATTATTGGGTTTTGTTGAGGGTTTTTTGCACTTTATTTGTTTTTTTAAAACTGGCTAGAAGTACCTTTTGTTTCTTTCAAAAGCTGTTTTGCTTATTATCTGAGTCCAGAAATCATATAAACATATGAATGCAGGCAAGAGAGAATATTAATCAAAACATCAAATAAGGCTTTTAGGAAACTTCTCTTACTACAAAAAAGTAACTAAATTATTTGCTTAACAATATCTGTTTATATATGTTAATATATGTTTATTGATAAGTGCATTCTGGAATATGCACAAATACATCCACCATCTGTGATAAAATAATCATAAGGTATTTTTCAAATGCCCATCATAATAAGATCTAAAAAGTCAAATTCATAGAAAAGCATCAGGCCTGATAAAAACCTTCAGAACGGTATTATTTTCCACGTGTTAGGGAAAACTGAGACAAAGTGACTCAATAACTTGGGGATCAGATAAAATTTGGGGTCATAGGATAGGAAAGGTAATGACTACTCATAGTTGTCTTCCTATCTCTGAATCCTATACTCTCTCTACTGCATTACAAATTATTACATGCTACAAATGCATGGAATAAAAGCTATCCTGAATATTTGCAAAGTTTGTTTGGGAACATTCTTCAGCGACTTTTCTGCATGAAGAAAATATTAAGAGTTTCGGGGATCTGCATGACTTAACAAATTGAAAGGCAGACACAGTGATTATGGTCTTACGTTCTTGGAAAGATGTGAAGAGCATCTGGAATCGGCTGCTTCGACTGCCTTCATCTGCCCACATGCGGATTACACCGAGACCTGTCCTCAGCATTACATCATTAGCAACAGTGCTGCAAAACTTCGCTTTCAAATCCTCCACAGAGCTGCTTCCGTCATAGACAGCTACGAAATTCCTTTTACATTCATTAGAATTCTGCATCTCGTAGTCCAAGAATCGCAAATAGATCTATGAAGTAAACAAATAACAAAGGTAACATGTACAGATATTTGAGAATGACTAAACAAACATTAAACACCTTTTCTCTACCTTGTGGAAGAAAAACTACCACCAAGATAACACCACCATCAAAATAATCTTTCTGGAGCTGGTGATCCACAGGCCACTTCTCTGGAAGGGCATTAGTATGGAAACTGAGCACTGTTTATACTTCCTGGTATTTTGTCTTGCTTCAAAGTAGATTCTAGTGGAAGATCTAGGTTTTTTTGTTCTTCTTTGCAGTAAGGTCCTTATTTCCAAATATATACCTGTCTTTGAGAAGTGTGTATAACAGTCCAAGCTGAAGGACAGACAAGCTAGAAATTTCTTCTTTCGCTGGCTGGCACAATATTGCTCTATTACTTGCCTGACATGGAAAATAATAAGGCAAATAATTGCTGCTCCCTCCCCAGAGTCAATATGTGTCATCTTTGTGATATGACTCAGCTACACTGATTCAGGAAGTGAGAATCTGGGAGCCAGGCAGAACTCAATCATTAATCTTTTCATGTTTCCTCAAGCAATTTGGCCACCATCTCAGCTTTTCTAAACAAAGTCTTATGGTATATATCTTCATAATTTAACAGGGTTGAAATCAAGAGTATTTCGTGGAAACTGCTAGAAACCTAGAAAGTTTTTTAGGAAATGTCTCATGCATACAAACTAAATTGTAAATGTAGTAGATGTCTTGCCTTTTGCAAAGAACTCGTTAAATCTACTCGAAAAGAAGCAGAGGTGAGGAGAAAATGCTATTGTTTGATACTCAATTCTGTATACGACTTTAATAGGGAAAACCACTCATTTTAAAAGCAATTGCTAATACAAGCAGCATCAAGTATTCCTGTAACAGAGAAGCTAAGCAATATTTTAAATAAACACATGGTACATAATCAAGCTGCCAAGCATACCCAGGAGACTTCAGGGGAATGATACAGAAAGTTGAAGTAGGGTAGAAGCGGCATAAAAAGCCAGTAAACATACCCAGCCACCAGTTATATGCATCTTCACTTGAAAAACTAACCAAAAAGAAACTCTACTGTATTAGACATCAGGTATACTTCTTTACAAACAGTCTTGTAAACTTCAAGTAGTTTTTTACATGCACAGAACAATTGCTTAAAAAGCTGCTCTGGATTTGTCTAAAGTACACAAACACAGCAACAGGACCCACCGCCTCATTAATATATTAAAGCTTTTATGATTTGAGAATTATGTGCCTGCCCCTGTTTAATAATAGCTCAGATTTTTAAATGAGCCTTCTCAGATACTGCATTATAGTACATTTTCATTCCTTGTTACGCTTTGCAGCTGGTCTCTCTGAAAAGAATATTTGTAAAACAAGTTTTACTATCGTATTAAATTTGGTATACTGTTTCATTTTGCTTGCTTAATCTTCTTCTAGTATGTTATCACTTATGGTAATCCTTACTTCTCTTCCAACATTCCCAACCTCCAGAACTCTTCAGAGGAATATATCTCAATTAAAATGCACTTAAGTGAATTCTACTTTTACCAAATATCCTGTTTTTTAAATACCATAAATTAAGGAAGCTGCTTATATTGATCTCTTAAAAATTGAACAGTGAACAGCAATACACAAAGTAATATTAAGATGGCAACACCTTATATCAAGGAGTACTTTTTATAGTGTTTTTAATTTAAGTTACTGCTTGCTCCACCCCTGCAGTAGAATGAAATATTACTAGATTTCAGTCACCCAACATTGCTGAAATTTTCTCACAGTATCCCCCACTTTTTATAAATGTGTTGTCTTGAGATGTCTCGCCATTTCCTCTCCTGCTGAGGGACATGAAGTTTCCATTCCTGTCAAAACAGGTCACCTACTTCCTTGGTGAAGTCATACTTAAAGGCTTGTCTTGAATTCTGAAGATGCATTTCTGAAGTTCTTGGCACTGGCCACTCCCTCTACAAGTCTCTCTTACACTTTCTACACTCTTCCTCCCCTCCACAGGTGCTCAGGCATCTGACCCTTTACTCCTTCTTGTGCTCCAAATCCTTGTTCTTGGTATTATCCAGATATTTGGAGCATTTCTGTCTTGAAAATGTGCAGAAATTAAAATCAATTGGAACCACGCAAAAGTGAGCAGCAAAAGGCTAGCAAGAGAGCTGCAATCAGGAATTTTGAATCAGTCAGGGACTCAAACGCAGCCATGCAGAACTGGGGTGGACAACAAGAGATGAGGATTTAGTCCTCACTCATGTGGCTTGATAAGACCCTCTTGTATTAGTGGCTCTTGGGGTCCAGCTGGCACGGGCATGCTATTGTCCTGGCAGAGCAAGATTATGAGGGAGTGACGATGTATAGGAAGCGACAGAGCCATGATACCCACACCCAGCAACTGGATATAGTTGGGACACACTGGAGAGCTGCTTCCTGTATCCTAGAGACCAGTTGCTCCTGCTCAAACAAAACCGTAACACACACCGTGAAACCTTGGCACCCAGCCTCTCCTGTAAAGCTGCTGAGGTAGTCCATCTCTGCATAATGTTTCACTTAGAATGGAGAGCTAAATGTGCACCTTGCTTTTCTTTCCTCCACTAACAGCAGCTGCTGGCTTCAGATGAGTGTTCCACTGCTTGCCAGCTTTGCCACAGGTAATGCAATACAATCCTGCAGCTGATTATATGCAATACTGTATACATATGACTGTTTCCCAGGAAGTAAAGCATGTCAGACAAATGTCTTATAGGAACGCACAGAAGGCTTTCAACATATATTCATGATTAATTATTTTAATGCCATATATGCCTATCACGTGTATACCACTTATATGTTCTAATATACCATGTATAGATATGATATACCATGCAGATATAATACAATGTACATCTATCATATTTTCATCTTGCAACATTCTTCAGGAAAGCTCTTACTGCAGAAAAAGATACCTTGGTCTGACCGCAGAACATCAGTAAAACTATACTTCACCTAATGAGAGAAGGACTTCTTACACTTGTTCATTTGTTCTTTATTTCTATCCTGCTGTCTTATATGTATGTATATACATATAAGTATATATACTTATATGTACATATATATACTTATATATACATATGTATGTATATATACTTGTATATACATACATATGTGTGTATACATATATATAAGCACATATGTATCTTGTATCTGGTATCCCATTTCACTATTGAGATGTAATTTATATTAGTTCTCATTCTTACAAGAAATGTGTGCTAATCCTCACTGAGGTTGTAAAATACCAGCTCTCATAGTAATTTCCAGCATTCATCAATTATTCCTGACCTGTTCAAACAGATTGTTCACATAACAACACAGCCAAAGTCTTATTTCCATGGGCTTTTCATTTGATGTAGTCTAGTTTCTGGTGGCACGCCACCCTTATAAAATAGTGAAATATTTCTTAGAGTAGCAGCTGTAAATGGTGAGAGGGAATCGAGAGAACAATAACTTAGCACTTCACTTTGAGTCTTTCAGCGAAGAAGCCAACACTTCCAGTTCTTCCCAAGCCTGAATTCTGCTGTTGATCATACGAGTTCATTTCTCTCTGTGATAAATTCAGCTAAAATCATAACATATATAGACTTGATAGGTCCTGGAACCACTGGAAAGAAATATTTGGCTTTAAAATCTATGGCCATCCTTCAGAAAAATAGATGACACCTTCTCCAATAGAATAAAATTTCATAAATTAGAGAAAATAAATTCCTGATATTCTGAGGTGCATTGAAGTTTCATTCTTACAGTCTCCTTTGGAGATGACTATTACTCGGAACTTTATAAAAAGTAATGATTACTTGATCCAAAGCTCACTGAAATCAGTGGGTATCTTTCCATTTACATAAGTATATTTGGATCAGACCTATGGATTAAGACTGCAGTGCATTTTTAAAAACTGGAAACTTGATTACACAAACTGATACCTTGATATTGGATCAGATTTTATTTTGAAGAGCTGGAATAATTTAATTGCATCTGCACGCCTCTGCCAATTTTTATGGTTTTATTTCTATATATTTGCCATTGTTCCTGTCACTGGCTGTAAGACCCACACTGGCAAAAGAAAATGACTAATAAATTGACTTCCCCAGGGAAAGAATAAAACTGATTATATGACAAACTGTTATCTAATGCAAAATGTTCCTGATACATAATCAGTGGCACTATTCTCATTACTTTCACTGGTATGTGGATCTCACTAAAAGAAATTAAGCAGAAAGTGAGAGAAACGTTATCAATATTTCTGGTTATTTCATTTACTGAGATCTTAGTCATTAATTCTACCAGCAGTGGATAAGAAACTTTGCTCCCCTAAAAGAAAACAGATGAACAAAAAAGAGGTCACAAACTCAAATGCCGCCATCTGCCTACGTTAAGCCTTTTTTCATTGATGCCAATGGGAGCTTTTAGAATGATAACATTTCCTTAGGTACTGACACACTATATTAGCATAATCAGGACATTCTTGTTGAAGAGAACATCTCATTTGAAAGAAGCAGCATAATTGTTGTGTCTTCTTCTTCCACGTTTTTGTTGTAAAGCTTTAATAAGATGCTTTTCTCAAATCATGTTTCACATTACTTAAAAGAACAGGCTCCTAATGCACAAGTATTACCTCTTCCTGAGCTTCAAGACATCACTGCAAATGCCAATGTTATTAGCAACAAAACCGATAAACCCTCACTGCAACTGTGGCGTATGTAATTTACACTTGGTCACAGTGTATTTTAAATAATTGTCTTGTCAACTTTAAGGTTTGTATTATCATCAAAGTCATGAAAAAGGAAATGCTGCATAAGTTTTACTATTTTTTTAATTTAAATTTGAAAACAACAGAAATCTCTGACTGCCTATATTAGGGAAAAAAAAAAGAATCGTTGTAAATTATGAATAATACATCACCTCAGTAAAATGGTCAGATTATGATCTCTTCATAGTGAATCACTTTTGATGAGTTCTGCTTTTTAATCAA